GGGTCTTAGGGTACCATTGACCTTGCGGCTGTCCCTGTTGGGGAACAGGTTGTTGTGGTGGTGTAGCAACCACCGCTGGACCCGAAGAAGAAGAAGCAACAGTCTGTGAGACTGCTGCAGACGTGCCACTTGGTTGTGTGCCAGCTTGCACGGGAAAGGGGCCTGACATCGCCGTTAACGGCAACGGCGACTGTGCTGGTGGCCTAAATCTTGGCCTTTGCAAAATGTCCAGGATCTGGTCTAGAGTGTTCTGCATAAAGTCCAATCGGCTGTCCACATGCGCATGCAGTGACAACATATTGTTCTTCAATACTTTTATTGGTTCAGTCAATCCTAACTCATCCAAACCCTTTAACTCAGCTTTGTCAGCCTCTAACGTTTCAAGTCTGGCTGTTCTATTTTTAATTTCTCTTTCTCTATCGGTTGCCTGTTTCAGTTCCCTCTCTAATCGTTCACGGATCCTTTCGACCTGTTGGAGCTCTAGAAGCTCCCTTTCACGTGGGGTCAACGGGCTGAACTGCGAGCCCGCCATTTGACTTGTAGACTGTTGAGAACCTACTGAACTGGAAGTACCCGTGGACCCTGTGGGCATACCCAAATGGGTCCCTGACGAGGATACTGCGGACGATGCAGCCGAGGATGCCGCTGCGCTAGACATTGCTACTGCTCTGTCTGCTGCAGCAGCCTGTTCCCTAGCTGCTAGGTTCGCTTCTGCCCTCGCTGCTGCAAGAGCACGAGCTCTACGTTCGGCACGAAGCCGTGCTTCGTCTCCCGGTTGTAGGGTCTGGAACACGTGCGGGACCCTAAGTGCTCCCGAACGTGTAAGTCTCACATTGTCCTCTCTCCCCTCATCGTTGTCTGATCCGCTCATGAGTTAGGCAAACACTATCTGCACTAGAACACCCTAGTGGAGTCCTACCACAGCATGTGTCTGACCGACACCTAATTTTCTAAAAATAGTTGTGTCCGGCAGCTCCCCTACTTTACCGATCAAGTGGCAGCCTACAACATTCACAACAGATTGTCAACATAGTCTAGATGTATCTTAATTGGTTCACTTACAGCAGCATTAGATAGAACTGGCTATGGTAGTATACAACAGTCCTACTCTAATCTGTATGTGAGGTGTTAGCAGTCTGTCCACAAACTAATCAAGAATAAAAGAAGACCATGTTGCAGATGTATGAATCGTGGGTATGGTTGTGTTTCCAGTTGAGCATCAATTAGAACCTACCCTTCCCCTCAATCCAACATACCGGTAAGCATCATTGAGCAGCGGTGTCTTCCTGTGTTTTCGGCCCACCCCTGTGCCCAAGTCGTTGCCGAGCAAGCCAGCCAGTCCACTCTTATTTACCCTCGTACAGAACGAGCCTTACACCTGGTTGATCTGGCTGATCAGGAGGAATTTTAAGAGCGCCCCCATCTCTTCAGGAATTATTTAACGTCGCAATTAGGACGACGATCAAAGCCAGATTCAATCCGAGTCCCCAACCAGAAATGTTTATAGACGGTCTGGTAAGCGTCTCATAAAAGGCTGGCACACCCAGCATGACTTCTACAGCGCAGCAAAGTGCCAAAATGGACAGCAGCCATCGTATGCGTGACCTACTCCCATTGGGTTGGCATGGTGACCGTGACCCAGTGCTTCGACCAGGGCCCTTCAGAGGCACCGCCCTTTCTCCTTCCAGATGCTTCCGGGAAGATTGTCGTCTCTCAAGGTAGCGCGCACACGACACCTCACCAAAAGAGAGGACTCTCAAGTTGGACTCACTTCCTCGCGGTAAGAAGAGATTGAGAGAGTAGATAAGGTAAGGGAACAACGTACCTGGAGATAGCTGCCCCCAACCACAGACTTCGCACCAATTGAGCTGAGTGTGCATTTGATGACCGGTCTGAGCCTCGGTACCACCCACAACGCAATGCAGTGCCACCTCAGCTTAATGCCACATCAGCATGCTCTCATCACCACTCATACATTCCGCCTGTCACCACGGCAATCAATGTCGTCTTAGCCTTCCGGCGCACACCTCTCTACCCAGGCTGTGCGCCTAAGATGGCCGACGTCACAAGAACCAACTGCGAAGAAGCATCGTCAAAGCACCAAGTCTGTATAACGCCAGCGCACCAAGGTAAGTGGCGAATCAAACCAGCTCCGATACCAAATTGCAAGGAACATGAATATGGACGAAGCACAGAAATCCAGATTGCAAAATCACACCGAAGTCCAAGTAGTCAAAGCAAGAGCAGATAGTACAATGGAACCGAGTAACCATCCATTTGAGAATGATACAGAAGAATCGTGAGTCAATGGCTAGGCGCCCTACCTACTCTTACAGCCTAACACTACAACTACAGTATGAAAGCAACCAGACAACTTGACGACCAGCGAGTGATGATGTCAACACCAATGCCGACCTCCCATCTCCACCAGGTACGTCTTCTTCTTCACCCACACTCTCCCTTGTTATCCCACACAGCGCCCTTCACCTCCGAAGAACCACCTTCGCCCTCACCTCTCCTGCGCCCTCAGGCAGCCCGGCTATGGCCGCCAGCACCCTGTGTACAGGCAGCGCCCTACCGCCTAGCGCCTGCCTGTCTCGCACCTCAGCCTAGCGCAGCGCAGCAGCTCGCATTCGCGCAGCGTGCCGGCATTGCCCGCAATGATCAACATCCCTGCCCACTCGCCCTGCTTGCCTATATGCCAGTGCTGCGTGTGGGCGGCCTCCCTCGAGCCTGTGCCTGGGCCCCAGTGCCTGTACCCAGGCCCGGTGCATTTGGGGGCCCAGGAGATGCAGTTGCGCCTCTTTCATAAAGGCCTGCGGCCAGATTCAGATAGTGGACCGGTTTGCCTTTGGCATTTTCGGCCTCTATATCCAGCATGCATTGTCGGCCTCACGTTTATGTGCCCAGGGCCTAACCAACTCGGGGCCCTGGGATTTCTGCATTTGCAGAGCTCCGATACTCGGTGCACACCAACCAAGTGGCGTGCTGCAACTGTATGGACCCCACTTCGTGAAATGTTTGCTCAGAGGGCTCTTGTTGATTTGCTGGCCCGCCTTCACTTAGGGCGGGCACTAGGCTTGCTGGGGCCTTAGCCCAGAACATGTACGTCATGGCAAGGCCCCTTCTTGGGGGCTCAATCGTCACATCCGACATTTCTCTCGCAAGAAGATGAGGGCTCGTGGAAACTGTGACTCGTGAGGTCCTTGTGACTTCTCTGCGAAAACGGCTTGTGGCCAGCGATCTGACATTTCCCTCGCAGGAAGACAGAGGTTCATGGGAACTGTGACTTCTTTTTTTTTTGTCCTTTCTGAAAAGGGCGTCATTGAATTGACCGCCCCTAGGTAATTAAGAATTATTTAATGTATTTTACTCTGTTCGTCTTAATTGCATCTGGATACAAAGTTGGGTCTGTTACAATCTGTATTCCAACAGTTGGCTGGTGTGCCAGCTGAGCTAGGCGGGTTGGTTGAAAAGACTGTGGATTGAGGCGAGTGGAGCGGAAAGCTGCCACCTACATTCGAACCAAAAAAATGTTTGTTTTCGCCGTGGAGACTTCTAAGTTCTAACCACAAAAGTTGGCAGATGGCAAGTAGTGGGACGAGCCCGTTGGAGGAGGAACGATGCGCCTCCCGCCAAACTCGGCAGCTGGTGAGCAGCGGAAAGGGAAGACCCTTCCTCTTCTTCAAGGCATTGCGTAAAGTTCTGGCAAAACAGAAGCTTTTGCCACCTCGCATGTTTCTGGCTGTGTGCTAGTCAAAAGTTGTTTTGACCTTTTTGACTTTGACTTCGCATAGAAAACAGGAAAACGTCAGACTCAGTCTTTCTGTTTTTGTTTTTGTCATGCCATATTCAGACCGAAGAAGAAGATGGCAAAAAAAGAAGAAAACAAAAAATTTGCACAGTACAGAAAGTGGTACTTGAACCACCAGTACGTTTCCTCGCTTGGAAAACAATACCACGGCAGTTAACACGGGAGGTTGCCGACCTCAACTGTGCAAACGCCCGGTAGCGGGGTATTGAGAAAACAAAAGAAAAAATACAAGAAAAAAGGTCCCAAAAAAAAACAAATTCAACATTGCAATCAGACTCGCTTTCTTTCCACTTCGGACACATGCAAACAGATGGAGATTCACACTGGTGCAGGGCGCCCACTCAAAGCTTAGAGATATGGAAATCAAGAACACAGTTCAGATGCAAGTTCTCTTCAACAGGCTAYRGCGCATCAGCRCCTGAACAMCCCAACCTTCGTCACTGTGTCCAACCCCACTGTTCACACAYGCTCACTCTGGATYACCCTGAATMCCACCACACACATRCACTATGTCTMACTTCCTCCTACAKCRGCTATGGCCGCACTACCAMTACTGACTATGGCTACGATCTCCCTTCAGCCCACTTCGTCTTCGGGCAACCTGCAGACCACCTTCCCACAAGACGCTGTAGCAGCGCTTCCGCATGGCTTRCGCAGCGAATGAATGAATGGCTGGGCGCTGCCTCTTGATTTATACTTCTGTAACTCGTTGGTCTGCCCCTTTCCCAGGCCCTTGGTGCACACAGTCCCACACGGTACTTGCTTGACTGGACTCTGACCGACTGGGACCGGTGCCGCTGACTGCATCGGTTTGCACTGCCAACTCGATGCACTCGCACTGCCGACGTAACGCAGTTGGCTCACCACTTGCCCACTTGCCTCTGACTAAACGTGAGACACTTCAAAAGGCCACTTCCGGACCTTCCGGAAGGCTGTGGACTTGGCCTTTCGGGTACTGTAGCAGCTACGACCTTGACCTTTCAGGACTGTAGCAGCTACGACCTTGACCTTTCAGAATACCTCCAGCTACGACCTCTACAAAGCTGTGACTTCTAATCAACAGACCTACAGATCAAACCCCTACCACTACACCGACCTACAACAGATGACAAACAACTACCAAAACACAGATCACGGGTTCAAACGCTCGGGGGTCGACTCAATACTGTACATTGGCAAAGTGACGTCTGGGGATCAAACTCTAGGGCCCGCATCTGTGACTGCAGAAAGGTGAAAACCGTTTCACTCCCGCCGGCCTAAATTCGAGGTCCTCCGAGAATACTTCAGTCTAAGGCAGGACCTTTACCCTTCTAAGCTCGGACTATATCGGGAGCTGTCTCTAGAAGTTCTGTTCGCGTGAACCAGCGGTCGTCTTCTGGCTCTTGATAGGCAAATCTGACTTTGTATTGTTTCTGGGGGCGACCTCTGCCTCCTGTCCTGAAGACATCCTCTCCTACTATTCCTTCTATGCCATATCTTCCATCCATATCTGGAGGAATCATAGACCTGCGATCTCAATAGTATAGGATGGTCCATCCTCTCCGCCCTTTACTTCTAGGACTGGCCACGGTCCTCTATATGCAGGTAACAACTTCTGTGAGATGTTCTCCTCAGGAGCAAACTCTTTTGACTTGACCCAGACTAAGTCGCCTACTTGAAACTGTGAGGGGCGACAGTGCTTGTTAGCTTGCTCTATCATCCTGTGCTGGGCTTTCCTGAGGTTGTCAACAACGGTAGCTATCTCTTTCTCGTGCTGTATCGCAAACTCTCGTGTACTGGGCGGTAGCCTCTGAATCTGATCCGGGTTAAGTCCCTCGAACGGTCTGCGCGGTCTAAAAGACTTGTGTAGTTCGTTGGGAGGGCAACACGTAGATAAATGCACGCTATTATTGTAGACATTGGCTACCTTTGGGAGCATCTCATCCTAGTTGATCTGATCAGGCCTAATGTACATCCTAAGGACTTGCTGCAGGAGCTTGTTCATCTGTTAAGTCTGGCCGTTAGTCTCTGGATGACGGCCAGATGACATCAACAAGCCATAAACTTCTATTAGTTCCTGCCAGTTCTGACTGGTGAACCTGGTATCCCTGTCACTAACTATCGACAGTGGTATACCATGCTCACTGACCCAATGGTCGAAAAACTTTTGAACTACTAAGTCTGTGCGTGCCTTTGCAGGCAAAGGAACAAAAACTGCATACTTGCTAAACCTATCTACTATGACCATGACTTGACTTTTGCCATGCCTACTCTTGACCTTGGTATCTATAAAGTCGATGGACACAGAATCTCCGGGTCTATCAGGAATAGGCAAGGAGAAGACCAAGAGGGGGGCACGTATTAGTCTTGTTTCGCTGACCGACTTTACAACTGCAGACATACTCTATGCAATCGGCCTTCATACCAGGCCAGATGTACGCGCACATGAGGTTGGCTAGTGTCTTTTGCCAACCAAAGTGTCCCTCTGTATCATGGCATTCCCCTAAGATCAAACTACGGATCTCTTCACTGTTGGGAACGCACAGGCGGTCAACTACATTAGTCTTCTCGAATAACAAGCCATCAGTAGTGCGGTAGTCCGGTTCGGACTCTGGGGCTTCCCTCTCTTGAGGAGGTCCCTATAGATAGGGTCCTATGCATATGCCTCTCTAACTTTCTGCTGCAGGTCTCTCCCTATATCCAGATAGTGAACTATTGCCCCAAAGTAATCAGCTCTCCTACTCAGAGTGTCCGCTACTACATTGTACTTCCCTTTAACTGGCTTCAGTTCGAAGTCATACTTGTCTAACTCTGCGGCCCACCTAGTAAGCTTAGGTGTCATCTTGGCCTGAGTCTTCAGCCACCTTAGAGTCTCGTGGTCTGAATAGACTTTGAAGTGCCTCCCAAGCAAGTAGTGCTTCCAATGATCTAGTGCTTGCCTGAGAGCGTAAAGTTCTCTCTCATAGGTTGATGTCGCCACCTTATCTGAAGGCATCCTGGCGGACATGAACTCTACGGGTCTATAGCCATTGTCATCGTATTGCTGTAAAACAACACCTATGCCATATTGACTTGCGTCCGTGGTAACAACGAAAGGTAGGGACGGATCGGCTACCTTAAGGACTGGGTATTCTATCAGGGCCCGCTTTAATCTTTTCAGGGCAGCTGTACAGACCTTGTCCCATTTCCAAATTGCCTCTTTCTTTAGCAACTTGCGAAGGGGTACAGCGATGGTGGAGAAGTTCCTGACGAACTTCCTATAGTAATTAGCTAGGCCTAAGAATGACTGCAACTCTGTCAATGTGTCGGGTGTTGGCCAGTCTCTAATCGTTGCACCTTACTATCTTCAGGCCTAACGTTGTCTCCGTCTAAGACGTGGCCCGAGTACAACACTTGTGTCTTCGCCCATTCGCACTTCTTGGCGTTGATCTTGAAGTTAGTTTCTCTAAGCTTCTCCAAGACCTGCCTTAGATGGCCCTCATGCTCCTGGAGGGTCTTACTGAACACTAGAATATCATCTAGGTACACTACAACAAACCTATCTAACCACGGCCTAAACAAATCGTTCATGCAGCACTGGAAAGTCGTTGGCGCATTGGTTAGTCCAAAGGGCATAACTATAAACTCATAGTGCCCATATCTAGTCCGGAATGCTGTCTTGTACTGATCATCAGGATGAACCTCTATTTGATGATAGTCGGACTTCAAATCTATCTTCGAAAAATACTTGCAGCCCTGCACCCGGTCTAACAAATCGTCTATACGGGGCAATGGTTCTACATTCTTCACTGTGATAGCATTAAGACCCCTATAGTCTATGCACATTCTAAGCTCTCCCTCTTTCTTGGGGACAAAGAGAATAGGTGCTCCAAATGGGGACGAACTGGGCCTAATCCAACCCTTCTCAAGGAGCTCGTCTAACTGCATATGTAGCTCCTCTAACTCCCTTGGGGACATTCTGTAAATCGCTCCCTTATGAGTCCTACTGCCAGGCTCTATCTCTATGCGATGCTGGATCGGCCGCGACACTACTCCTGTAGGCGGCTTAACTAGGTCTGTATATTCTTCCAGCAGCTTGGCAATAACAGGTTTTACGGGTGTCTCCTCCTTAGGCTCAGTGACTGGCCTCACATAGGCTACAAAAACCTGCTTTTTTAACTGCTCCTTCTTTACTAATCGCGCGAACGCGGGAGCACTGAGGCAACGATGTGGCAGGGTGTTGTCTACTCCAGACACATGGAACAGGCGAACAGTCTTAACTTCACCTGTGGGACTAGGGAGCCTACACTCGTGCTCTCTCAAATGGAGTGTGGCCCCTGCTGCCTCCCCCCAGTCCATTCCTAGGACTATATCAAAAAGGAGATTGTTTTCTATGAGGAGAGTAAGGGAATGAAGGACTTTCTTCACCTTCCCATCTTTCTCTAGGCGAAAGTACGCCTGGACTCCCTCGACGTAATCCTCGACTCGCACAGTGCGATTCTCTGCGAGGATACTGACTATAGGGTCTGCTAACTTTTGGACTTTTAGATTCAACTTCAACTTCTGCAGCGCTTTCCTACTGATGTAGTTGCGGGGGGGCCCATTGTCTATAAGGGCCCCTACTCTACCTCTAAAAATCTCTACATCTACTAACACTAGCTGTCCTTTGGCATCCTTCTTCATCTTGGCCCAGGCAGGCATCCTCTCCTTCAACTCTTCAGCCACGCCTGTGAGGGAAGTACCTAGAGGGACTCTTACACAAGCAGTCTCTGGACAGTTGTCTAGGTACTGGCCAACAACCTCTGTCGTAGGCTCATGTGGTTTGGGAGTTCCTCTGTGGTGCGCGCACTCTTCTCCACATGGCCTAGAGGTAAGGGCAGTTGCGACCCCTACCGGCGGTTGCCTTGTGCTGCTTGTGCAGCATACTAGGCTTCTCTATACTTCGGGCAGAATCTGATGATGTGACCAGGATCACCGTAGTAGATGCACTGATCCTGATCAATCCGTCGTTGCCACACTAACTGCTCTAAGCCCAAATCTTCCCATGGCCTGCCTTGCGGCAAGCCTGGATGTCATCCCCCTTGACGTGGAGGTGACCTATAGGATCGTGAGGGATTTGGCGGGGGACCTTGACCCCTACCTCCCTCTTGGCGGTTTCCTCTGTCGCCAACCCCCTGAGCGCCCTATCCTCGGCCACCTAAGGCTCGCCCCCCTTGGCCCTGGCCCCCTCCTCTTCCTTGCGACCTCCCTCCAGCCGCGACAACAGCGTAAGTCCTCCCCTGACCCCCACTACTGTCCCCATCATCCAGGCCCTACTCTGGACCTCATATGTACCACCTTCATCTAACTTAAGGATCAGATGATCCTTTTCCTTTACCTGACCTGAGATGATACGACCCTTCCACTTTTTACCTTTATCTAAGTCCTTGTGCCAGAAAGTGGAAACTGGCATGGACTGCGCCTCGAACAACACCACCTCTTTACTCAATGCATTGTATGTCATGGTGGGTTGTCAGCTCTTCTCAAAGAAGTGCACCCATCGAGGCTCTGGCATGGCACGATAGAAGAGATTGACCAACTGGGGCTCAGTGAACCTGTGGTCTGGGACAGCTACAAGCTCGTCCATTACGCCTTTGAGTGCTCTGGCACTCCTCCACTGGTGTGAGTGGATAGTCTGTAGTTTGTCAGAGGCCCTAATGCCTCGCGTGACATATGTGAATCGCTCCTTAAAGAGCCGAAAGAATTCAGGGAGAGGGGTGACCTTAGAATAAACAACCATGTTATTCTCGCACTGTGAAGCGCGCGCGAGCGAGCGATCTAGCGAAGCTGGCGGCGTCATCCTTGAGGGCCTGGAAGGCTATGAGGACTTGTTGCTCTGGCACGATATGTTGTAAATAAATGTATGTATTTACGTTGGTCTCCCAATTATCTCTAGCGTGGCTCTTCCTCCTTCGGCACGGCCAGCTTTGCGCCCTCAATGGCGCCTCTGCAAAACTTCTCAGTGCCCTCTATTCTCGCTTGCACTTCTGCACCTACGTGCAGCATCATCTCACGTGCACAATCCCTAAATCCCAGGCGGATGAAGTGCAAGGCGATGTCCTGGGCTCTAGAGAACTGGTGTTGCTCGTCCCAGGCTCTGGCGAGGAGTTCTATGTTTCTCGAAATAACATCTAACTTTCCCTGTATATCTTCTTGCACCTTTATCACCCCCAACTCCCTCGCCACCTTGTTTGCCTCCTCCATCCTTCTCTTATTTTCCCTTGTGAGACGTAGTTTCCGTTCCAACTTTTTTCCCTCCTCTATAGTCTGATGTCTCAGAGGGTCTTTTTCCTCTTCCCACTCCCTGATTACGACTTCCTTCTCCTCTAGGGGAACATATAACATGGCCTCTTCCTCTTCTCCCAGAGATAAATTAGCTACCCACTCCGACACTTTCTTCTCCAGCCATGATGCGTCCTTCTTCGTGTCGCTAGTTTCACCTCTCTGCTCTGCACTCCTTCTGAGCAAAGGTTCTTCTTCTTCTATCTCCTCCTCTTCCACTTCCTTCATCTTCTCTTCTTCCTCCTTCAATCTTTCCATCTCCTCCTCCAGCTTCCTCTTCTTCGCCGCTTGCTCCTCCTGCACGACCAACTTGTTAGCCTGTCTAATTAACTCCTTCTTAGTCTCTTTCTCTTTTCGCTCCCGCAATATGGCGACGGCTTGCTCTTCCTGAGCCTGGGTGTAAGGGGTGGTGCTCTTGCCACTACGCGTCTCAACCATGGTGAAAGGTGCACAACCAGAAATCAGTTCCACTCCTCACGACTTAGACTCTCACCCGCTGACTGACTCAATCTAAGGACCACAAAATCTTAGCAAGATCCTGCCAACTAGGGTCTCTAGCCTAGACCTAAACTAAGGCTGTCACTACACGACTACTGCTGATCAGGAGGCATTTAAGGAGATCCCTGGTAACTCCTCAGGAATTATTTAATGTCACAGATAGGACGACGCGATCAGCAAGTCCTCTCAAGACTTAGACAGCTTGTTGTGCAGCCCACAACTCCGATTTTGGCCCTACCGTGCCACACCGAGCAGCCCGCCGGTCAGTACCGGTCCTTGGGAGGGTTCGTGTCCTCCGGGTTAGTCGAGTCGTCAGACACAACCTTTAGCCCTACTCAGCCTGTGTGGGTTTGGTCAACAAAGCTCTATGACCACATACACAAAGTTCCTATCACCTAGACAGAAGAGACTCAATGCAGAAAGAAGAGACAGACAGACTCAACAAGTACCATGGGGTGACTGCACATCCATAGGGCGTGGGGATAGGCTGAAGGCTTGGCGAGAATATACCAACTCCAGCTTGGTCAAATTCGTGGTCAGCAGCTCTGGTCAACGCCTTGGTCAACGCTTGGTCAACTCTCAACTTGGCTATGGCTGCCGCCACTTTCTTCCTCACCAACCCTCACTTCTCTTCTTTCCACCTCTCTTCTTCCTCACTTTCTTTCTCTCTGCACCCCCGGCTATGTCTTTCTCTTTTTTTTTTTTTTTTCATATCTCCCTTCTTCTTCCTCGGCTATGGTTTCTCTCCCCTTCGTCTCTCCTCCCTACTCCTTCACTTCACCTTCTTCTTTCCTTGTAACCCTGTGCCCGAGCTCTGCGGCTATGGCCGCCTTCTCTCTTGGTCCGCACAACAATCTTGTATCGCTCCTCTCTCTCTCTCTCTCTCTCTCTCTCTCTCTCTCTCTCTCTCTCTCTCTCTC